GAGGATAGTACACCTGAAACCAGACACTAACAAAAACAGGTAGCCAGGCTATGGTGGCACACGCCTTTAATCCCAGCACTTGGGAGGCAGAGGCAGGTGGATTTCTGAGTTTGAGGCCAGCCTGGTCTACAGAGTGAGTTCCAGGACAGCCAGGGCTATACAGAGAAACCCTGTCTCGAAAAAGAAAAAGAAATAAATATTTTTGCTTGCATTTTTTACCTTTCCCACATGACAGCTCAGAAGATCTCTAGCTCCAGTCCCAGGAGAACCAACACCCTTGTCAGCTCTCTTGGACACTACACAAATGTGGTGCACAGACATACATGCAGCCAAAACACACCAGCACATAAAATTAAATGTAAAAAAAATTATAAAAAAAGATTCCTGTATAAATCAGTGTTTATACATATGAGCTAATGGATGCACAATCTAAACAATATTTTATGTGCCAAAAGGACATATGTATATGCACACACCACACACACACACACACACACACGAACCCACACATGTGAAAAAAACATGCATACATATACAACACACATATAAAAGTGAAAAAACAAATTAAAATGAATAAATTTAAGAGACAGACCTTAAGCTCTGCATTGATGAGAAAGGTGCCCTGAGGGCAATGTCCCAGCATCTCAGGAGCGAGCCTGAGCCGAGGATGCGCCTGAAGGGGCTTGCTGGAAAATAACTGCTTAGCACAAGTGTCTCTAAACTTAGTTCCATGCTACCCAGAGAACTGCAGCTGTGGTTCAGTGGGGCTAGGGTGCATATCAAACAGGCAGCAGACTTGGCAGTCTCAATACAAGTCTCAAAGAAGAGTGCCTAGTAGCAGAGACCCTGCTGGCACAGCTGAAGGGAATCGAAAGCTAACTAAAGAACGAGGGCCCATCAGATCTCTGGAAGAGCTCTGAAGGAAAAGGAGGGCAAGCCAGATGGCTCAATGGGTAAAGGTGCTGGCTGCCAGGACTGACAACCTGAGTTCGATGCCTGGGATCCTCGTGGTGGAAAGAGGATCAATTCCTGCAAACTTTTCTCCTACCTCCACACATGTGCCATGGAATTTGTGTCCCCACACATACTAAAGTAAATAAAAGTAAATAAATAGATGTAATTAAATAGTGTTTATTTCAAGGGTAGATGAATGAGTAAAGAAATTAGTGATAGTTCATGGACAAGGACAAAGCAGCATTTGTGACAGAGGTAGAGACTATACTGAGAACTTACACTGAGTGAAAGATGAGTAGGAAGCCATCTAACAAGGTGAAGGTGGAGGCAGAGTGTGGCATGGGAAGCGGGGTCTCTGGAGGATCCCCAGACCTCTATAGCAGTAACATCGATGGGGTTTCTATTGTGTGTAACTGACAGGTTCATAAACAGGCTAGTGTTGAGCAGGATCAGAAGAAATTTTGGCTTTTGAGAGTGTCTGGTAGAAGATGGAAGCCAAAGAAGTCAGAAGACTGTGGCAGCACTGTGGGAACCTGTGGGCATTGCAGAAGCAGAAGGAGCCCAGGGACACAGCAGAAGCAGAGGAACAGTGGGAGCCTGGGGACACTGCAGAAGCAGAGGGATGTGGGAGCCTGGGGACACTGCAGGAGCAGTGCTGTGGGAACCTGGGGACACTGCATGAGCAGAGGAATGTGGGAACCTGGGGACACTGCAGGAGCAGACCTGTGGGAACAGAGGAATATGGGAGTCTGGGGACACTGCAGGA